ATGAAGTGATTTGGCTTAATCTTTTATATTTACTATTGAGATGAAAGTCTCGTTACTCTCCTCTCTCTTTTCTCTCTAGCCTTTTAATCTTAGTTTTGTTTTGGAGCGACTGTTGTTTATCAGCAGTAGCTTCTACCTTCTACCTTCTACCTTCTACCTTCTATTTTTCTTTTCGCTTCACTTCTTTTTATTTTTAATCTTTTATTCCCTTCCCTCTAATAAAATCAAATTTATTTTTTCTATAATAGATTTGTCCTTTTTTGGTTTTGTTATTATTATTTTGTCTCCATATTTGGAGTTTTTTCTCCCTTCTTTGTAGGAGTAATCCCTTCAATGTGAGGGTATATTACTAATTAAAATAATATGATATTTAATTTTATTTCATTGGAGATTTTATATCTTGATTTATAGGTGTAAATCTTTGATCAATATAGCCTAGAAGTGCGGCATGTTCCTCCATTGATACTATTGAGCCATAGCATCGTAAACTCATCATTCATCATATGTTGCAAATTCTTAGAAAAACAATCAAAGTATAGAAGATTCAGAAGAGTTATTATTTTATCGTCCAAAACACTTAACGGACTAGGTGCTGTTATAAAGATTTATATATTTTGTCAAGAATAAATCTAAGCAGAAAGATCGCATATTATATTTTTTAATTTTAGTTTTATTATTCAAAAGAATATAAATTCTTTTGATTTGTTAAAGGATCAGCGAACTCTATTAGCTACTAATAGCCGTTCCACAAAACACCTTACTAAACCGGACACTACGGTTGGCTGTCCAGTATTAAAGATTCTATAGTAGTATGTTCTAAGAATAAACTCTATAGCAGAAAGAGATGCGTGCCTCAGTAATTCTTCACTATATTTTTAATTTTAGTATTTATTATTCAAAAGAATCATGAATATTCTTCCATCTGACTTTGTCTAAAGGGAATCCACCGCGAACTCTACTTACGCTATACTATATAGTAGAGTTCCTAGGTCTGGAAAATTATCATGAGTCTATTTATCTCGTAATTTCTGCGAGATTCATATATTACTTAAGGAATTATATTTTTACTAACAAAAAATACATATTGAGATGAACAAAAAATAACTTTCATTACTTTAACAATTAAAGAATTAATAACTACACATGTAATCAGATCCTTAACAGGAACAAACTCTTGTATTATTCACATTTTCCATTAAATTAACACTTGACATAAAAATACACTTTTAAACTTTAACTTTGGTTTAAAAAATGGACATCTTCCACCTGTATACAAAGTAATAAGTATACCATTGTGGAATGAAACTAATAGACTATTTACATAATTGCTCTATTTAAATGGAGCAAAAATCCATAACCAACCAAGTTTTACACATGGGAGTTGATGTATTTTTGAATTAGTTTATTATATACAGTAATTGACATATTATATTTTTTAATTTTAGTTTTATTATTCAAAAGAATATAAATTCTTTTGATTTGTTAAAGGATCAGCGAACTCTATTAGCTACTAATAGTAGAGTTCTATGTCTGATTTATATGAGTATTTGTAATTCTTAATATTATTATTAATGAATTATATTTTAAAAAAATACTATTGAGATGAAAAAATAACTTTCATTTATAAAATTAAAAATAAACTACAATGTAATCAATCCTTAACAGAACAAACTCTTTATTATAAATTCATAAATTAAACTGACATAAAATACATTTAATTTAATTTTTTTAAAATGATCTCCACTTATAAAAATAAGTACATGTTGATGAAATAATAGATATACATAATGCTCTATTTAATGACAAATCCAAACCACAATTTAATCATGGGATTATGTATTTAATATTTATTATTATACAGTAATTGATAATAATTAATTTGCATTATACAAGATGCACTGTACAATAATTTATTTCATTTGTAAATAAACCATCAACAACAATCATAATTACTTACAGGAAAATCTAAAAATTTCACGTTATTAAGATTAAAAAGAAAAAACATTAAAAAAAAAAAAAAGAACAAGTGACACATCCTTGACATATACATAATAAATTATCAATATCAATACATATGATATATATGTGCCATGAAAAGATAGTCAATATATAAATATATATATTTATATATTGTTTCAACTAATCACATTCTAAACCATTTCTCTAATAGAATGTGCTTTATTAGCTAGTTCTGATAGACTTGAGCCAACAGAATATCCACGGACCATGCCAGCCGGATTCCGGTGGATCCGGCACCGGAATGAGCCTGCGTGAGTGGTCGGAGAGCAGAGACAATTTTTTGAGGTTTTTGTGTTCGACAATGCCCTGTGTAGCCTTGGTGAATTCTCTAAAGATGAACTAATCTTCTGGTGCTTGTTGGCTGTGTCAAAGTTTGGTGTCTGCACAGATATATTTGGACTATGTTTCTGAACAAGCTTTGCTGATTCCTTTTGATCCTTTCCTACTTCAGACATTTTGATCTGTTCAAACTCAATACACATATTAGTGGTATTTTGTACAATTTCTTTTTTTAATTATTAAAGGTGTCCTTTCGTCTTCTATTTAACTGTGTTCTTATACAACTTTTTGACAACTAGTTATTGCAATATACAATTAAGACATGCTAATACAATAAATAATTTTGCGAAATTATATATTCAATCACTTACTAAGGTGTCTAGTTAGTGAGGTTTAGAAGGTTTGGTAAGTGAGAATAATGGACAAAAGTAATAATTAAGTAGGGCAAGGGAAAAACTTACCTACATTTGATATATGGGTCTATCTATACACCAAATTAATTACAAACGATGTTTTGATTCAAATGAGGATTTTTCTGACCATACATTTAGAAAAAATATATATAATAGCATTTATTGAACACTTTAACTTGCAAAATTAGATTAATTAAACACTCATTAAAAAGTTAAAATTTACAAAATTATTATTCCAAAAGTCATGCTAACTAAATATCAAATCGATAATTTACGGTTAAAAGCCAAAACCCCTAAAAATTATTGATATTAGTGTTTGAAGGTGTGTAATATTATCAAAAATTTTCAAATTCAAATATATAATAGGTTATTCACAAAGTCCAAGATGCGTAAGATTAAAATTACGAAATTCATAAGTGAATTTATATAGTCAGCCTTTAATAATACAATAATTGAATGATTACCTCGTGAGAAGACATGATTTAAAACTTCAGCAGCTCTTCTTCCTGTTAAATATTTTCGACATGGATATATATATAAAAAAGAAGTTAGGCAAATTCCAAGTGCATAAAAGATAAACTCCAAAGATTGACATGATTAAAAATAAATTTTTTAACAAATGAATTTATCTTTTTAATATAAATTACATTTGTGTTTTGAGAATATTTTTTTAAGAGACATAGATGACTTGAATATTTTTCATTATATCTCTAGAAACTGAATATCAAAAATCAAACTTAAGATCCTAATCAAGTACACATGCCAATGAATGACAAAGAAATTGCAAATTGATAACCTAATTTTTATATTTTTGAAGGATTATGTATAAGCAATTAATGATAATTAATACTAAAAAAAAGTCAGAAATAAATAATTAAGAGGCTATTTTCATTATACCCAAATGCAGATCTCATATCATAGCAATAGAAGGCCTTAATGAATAATACAAAATTAAAAAAAAAAAAAATGATGATAAAATTGTACCTGACCTGAAAACTGAAGGAATAAGGGAAGAGAATTGTTTCCTCCGGTGATGGTCAAATGGGAAACTATTTATTACGAGATGACCCAAAAGATTTTTCTCTTCAAAGGAACAGAAAAACAATCAAATGGGCAAATGTTAACATTACACTGCAATAGTTGTTGTTAGGTTAGATTTTTTGGGTCCTAATTCCTGTTTGGCCGTTATCAATTTGTGGTAATCTCTAATAAAAAATTTCCAACCACTAACTTATATTGTTCCTCCCTAAATGCTAGCTTATTTATATTTATGTTTTAAACGATTGATTATTAAAATATGTTTTTATTTATTAAATAGAAAATATACAATCTACCCATAGTTATTAAGATTCGATTTAATCAGCGGTTCACATATTAGCTAATTTGCTTCTAACAACTAAGTTAATGATATTTTGGTAAAGATTTTAATTAGCAGCTGATCAAAATCCCAATTAATTGTTAATTGCATTAGATACATTTTCGAGATTTTTTCTTATCACTTACCAGCTAATTTATATTTGAATTATATTTAATTTTATAAAAATAATTAATATTAAAATTAATTTTTTCTCAAATTAATAATTTTATGTAAGATTTATTTGTAATTATTCAAAATTATTATAAAATTTAATTAATATTTCTATATCATAACCAAATAGCATACTTAGACATAGCTAGCCAGTCGTAAATGCATACTCGACTTGGTCATACATCCAGATTCGAATCCACTAAAATTTTATCAAACAACTAATATTAAAATTATGAGCTATTAGTAACTGCTATCACATAAACTAAACAAAACAAGCGCGTCAAATGTAAGGCAAATCGTTTAAATTTAATGGTCATATGTAATTTTTGTTTTCAACAGTATTTATTATACAAACAATTCGAATCAATAGCCCAACTATAAGAGGCAATTATAGATTTTTTTAAAGGATAAACTCATGTATTTTCTGGAAATCAAATTTATCACCTTAATCTATAGGTTCTTTGTAATAGTTATAAGTTATATATATATGTTTACAGTTTGAATTTCTTTTTAAATTTCTAAATACTTATTTTGAACTCAATTACAACATTTTTTTTTTTTTTTCCAAATGAACGGACTGTCTCTGGTTTGTTTGTATCACTGAAACTTGCTTACACTAAAAACATCGGTTTCAACCGTTTCGTTTTGTTATAGATATGGTTTTGGTCCGTGCGTTGTTGAATTTTCAACTAGAATCTTTGCCACTCGTCAATTCTCTCTCCATTGCAATCTTACCAAATTTGCTTACATCTTCATAGCAATAGAAACCGTCCCTCACGGTCTTCTAATTATTTTGTCTCTATAGCACTGCTGGTTATAAACCTTCCCTTCAGTTACTGTAGACACTATCTAAATAAAGACCAAGTACTCCATTTTTTGTTACTCCTAAAACCCACTTCCCAACCAAGAACATGTCCTCTGATCTACAAATGAACCAAGAAGATCAAGAATCAAAATCTTGTCAATTAATAACAGATCTATCACTAAGCACAGGTGTATCTGTCTCTAAATTTAAGAAACAGAAAAGCTTAGATGAAGGTAACAGAAGTGAAATGAGAGGTTCGAATGATAGGGCAAATCCTAATTATTACCATCAAACTGTTGATGGATCTACGAGAGCATATCATCCTTATCATCAATCTATGTTGTATGGGATTAGCAATAATTTTAGTAGCCAAAGTGGTAAAATATCAACTTCTAATGGTAGATCAAGTAGTGCTAAATCAACATATGAGAAACTTCACCACAGGATGATCAAAAATAGAGAATCTGCTGCGAGGTCGAGAGCAAGAAAGCAGGTATGTTCCTTTTTTTTTAAATATTTTTTCGATTAAATTCATGTGAAATTCATTTTCTTCATAGAGAAAATTTTATGTTTGAAGTAATGATAGATTTTCTTTCTTCAGTGATCCTAATATTAGGTACAGGTTTAATGTGAATAGAAGCATATAATTAAAAAAATAAATAAATATGTTTTTTTTTTAAATTTCCTTTTTATATATAAAATGACACGGGAGGGATGAAGAAGCTGCTTTTTTTTTTTTTTTTTTTTTTGGCAAAATGCCTATATTACATCAAAACTCGTGCTTGAATGGATGCTACGAGTAGCATATCATCCTTATACCATCAAATCCTCTATGTTGGGTAATGGGATTCAGCAATAATTTTAGTAGCCAAACAGTGGGTAAAATATCAACTTCTAATGGTAATCAAGTAGTGCCTAACTTCAACATATGAGAAAACTTTCACCACACAGGAGGAAATCAAAATAGGACTCGAATCTGCTCCTGCAGAGGGTCCGGGAGAGCGCAAGAAAGGCAAGGGGTGATGCTTCCTTTTTTTTTTTAAGATATGGTTTTCCGAATTCAAGATTCGATGTGAAATTCCAGTTTTGCTTTCAGTTAGAGAGAAAATTTATGTTTTGGAAACGTACATGATTAGATTTTCTTCTCTTCAGTGATCCGTAATATTAGGTTACAGGCTTTAATCGGTGAATAGGACAGCATTTAATTGAAACAAACAACAAAATAATACTAATTGTTTTTTCTTTTAAATTTTCCTTTTTATATAGTTTTAAGACCAATGACATCGGGAAGGGGACTGAAGAAGCTGCCTTTTTTTTTTTTTTTTGGGTTTTATTTAATTTGATTGTTTTGATTCGCCTCATTCCCCTTCAATGGCACAGGGGTCTTAAGCTCCACAACAATTGGAAAATGAGGAGCCTCAAGAAGGAGAATGAACTTCTTAAAAAAAATTGTGACGGGTATAATGTTAACATAGCAGTTGCTAAATTACATCTATTTTTTATTAAGTTACATTAGGTTATTTTTTTTTTTTTTTTTTTTTTAATTTATTGTTTTATTCCCTCATTCCCTTCAATGGCACAGGCTCTTGAAGCTCAACAACAATTGGAAAATGAGGAGCTCAAGAAGGAGAATGAACTTCTAAAAAAGATTGTGACGGTATAATTTAATTAGCATTGCTAAATTACAATCTTATTTTTATTAAAGTACATTGGTTATATATATAAAATTATATATTTACGATGCTACAATTTTATCTGTGAAGGTAACTAATGTTTGTTTCGAAGACTTTTCATTTAGGTTGTATTTAGTGAAATATAATAAAATGTATTTTTAATGTAATACTCATTATTTTAAATCTGTATTTAACACGTTAAACTACAATTATAATTCAAATATGCTCAATTTTCAAAATTTGAAGAATACAATATATATTGTGAATGGGCTTTGATGATTTTATGCAGTTTCTTTTAGCTATTGTGAGGGCAAAGCGCATAAGGGTGCCAACATTGTCAAGGAGCTTCTCAGCACCATTCTAAATGCTATAGAAAGTGAAGAATAGGAACAAACATTGTGTATATGCTTCAAATTGACCTTATGACAATAGGTAAAAGTATGAAATAAGGACATAGTACTGGGAATAAATACTCTTTGTATTGAGATATATTAATTTGAAGTTATGTTTAATATATTTAATTTTTAAGGTTATCTACTCATTTTTATGCATTTATTAATTTGAAGTTCCTATTTGATGAAGTAAATGTTTAATTGAAAGTTCAAATTATCTGGATGCATTTTGGGTATTAATTTGTCGTGTAATGAATAAAAGAATATTTTGATAGTTTTATATGTTTGGAGGTTATTCAGAAACGAATTTAATGCCTTTAAGTAGGCATAATCATGGTTCAATTTTAAATTAGAACCGAATCGAAATCTACTCACACTTAACCGATTGAAAATGACATCAAACCATAAAAAGCGGTCATAGTATGAAACCATAACAAAATTGTCTATTGATGATTTGTTTTCAGTTCCTCACTTTTTTTAATAAGAATAGTTAGTTCGGTTTAAAACCATAACAAAAATGTTTTCAATAGTTATATTTATTATTATTATTATTATTATTATTATTAGTATACAAGCTACAAATCTAAAAAAAATAAAAAACTTGAAAAAAATATCTACTTTCGATTTTAAATCAGACCAAAAAGCAACGGTTCTAAAATCATTTTGGAAATCGCCTAAAAATGATTTGGTTTCAGTTTCATATTTATTATACTGAAACCAGCAATTCTGTAATCGAAATTGTAAATTTTAAAACCATGGTCATGCTTATTTTCATGATATGCATAATGATGTCGAGATTATTCAGAGCATTTTCAAATATGATGTTGATACATAATATTCAAATATTTTGATAATTTTGGAAGTCTTTAATTGTCATGTTAATATGAAGGAAATTATAGTCTTTTACATGCATGAGGGTTAAATTAATTTCGAGATTATGTTGAATTTTGGTGGTGAAATAAGCTAAAATTACAAAAATGGATTGAATGTATTTTATTAAGGATAATCATATATTTCTTGTTTGAACTTTTCATTTTTTTTTTATTCTAGTATGTAAATAAAAAAGGATAATGATCGAGAGCATGAATGTTTGAAAATTTACAATTAAGTGTCTCTGACTTAGTTGGCTAACCAAAAAGGTAATTGCAGGGATGAAACCGGAGTGGGTATTCACAAATTTTAAGCTACTCGTATCCGTATTCGTTTAAAATTTTACTATCCATACTCATTACAATCTATTTAAATAACATTTAAATATCCTTTCGAATTCGTTTAAAAATTTTACTACCCACATCTATCCAAACCGATTTAAAATACCGCTTAAATGGGTAGGGTACTATGAATTTTAAATTATCCAAATATGTACTTATTTAAAATATATTTTATACTAATAATGGATCGGGTATTGCGGATACTCACTATCAAACCCATTTAATATAGGGTAACGGGTTCCAGGTATGCAAAGACCTATACTCATATTCGTTATGAGTTGTAATTTCACTATCTGTATTTGTCTCAAATCTATTTATAACTACATGTATCCTCTTTAAACAGATAAGAGTGAGGCATGATTGTGTAAGACCCGCTTTTTAACACATTGCATGTAATATCCCCAATTTGACAGTCTCGAATATTCTGATTGCTATGGTAATTATTGCTATTCGGAAGGATAGAATAATTGGAATTACTTTAATTTGTTAATGAGGAACTATTAATTATAAGTTATGATGTTTAATGGAAATCAATTTTGTTATGAAAATCAAATTAGAAGAATGTTAAATGAGCTTAAGCTTTTGTCACGACCTGTTTCCATGGACGGGACCGGCACTAGGGCTCAGGTAAGTTTAAAGCCCCCGAAGCCCGTAGTAAGCCTAAATTGCTAAAATTCAACTATCTGAATATGCATTTTGCTTTGATGATGAGAAGCTAACATGAGAAACTAACACGAGAAGCTCCTTAGGCTAGCACCATGATTTAGCATTTAATGGATTAAGGTCTAATTGTGTATATATATATCATCAATTTGGTACTTCTTGATATTCTAACTTGTTCAGTAATTTCGGTTATCCGAGCAATCTAGAAATTGAAAATGGCGAGAAACACTATAGTTAGAGGGTATTAATATTAATTAAATGGAAATTAAAGTATTTATGAATCAATTTAAAAGATTAAAGGGAATTGAAAATGAGTTAAAGAAGAATGATTTTTCAGAAAAGCACAATTTTATCCACAAGTCCCAAAAATTGATAATTTTGGCATAATGTTGCTTAAACATGACTGAAATTATTAAATAGACTTTCTTTAGACCTAATTGGGACTAAAATAAAGTTATAAAAAAGATTTAGGTGCAATTGTAAGAAAAGCCACCCATATGAAATTTTAGCAAGTTAAAATGGGATCTCAGGTCTAATCGGTATTAATTGATATATCATCAATTATAGTAACTTCTTGATATCTGCTTCAACTTTGTTCAGTAACTTTCGGTGGATCCGAAGCTAAATACTAGACAACTTGAAAATGCGCAGGAAACCACTAACTACGTTACGAGCGTTTATTAAATAATTTCAATTAAATGGACAATTAAACAGTCATTTTATGAATCAATTTAAAGATCTCAAGGAAATTGAAAAACCATCGGGAGTATAAAGACAGGAGATGATTTTTTCAGGAACAAGCACCAATTTTATCCAACAAAGTCCAAAAAATTGATAATCTTTTGGCATAAGTTTGCTTTAAGACATGACTGGAAATTATGTACACCATAGACTTTTCTTTAGGACCTTACATTGGGGAACTAAAATAAAGGTTATAAAAAAGACTTAGGTGCCAATTGTAAGAAAGCGAAGAATCAAAGAAAGGGTATTAAGGTGCAAAAACAGACAACTATAAGGAAAGATGGAAGGGAATTACCATGAAAGCTTTGATTTGCCACCTAATTTGTGATGAGTCATAAGGCACCTCTTGCTCATTTTTTGCTACAATGGTTCAAAAACTCCCATGGAAAATCAGAGAGAAAAAACTCTTTTAAGGCAAAGCTAAAAAGTGCATCAAAGCTTCTAAAAAATTTTCCAAGTGATCCGTTTAAGAAAATAAGGCACCTCTTGCTCATTTTTTGCTAACAATGGTCAAAACTCCATGAAAATAGAGAGAAAAAACTCTTAAGGCAAGCTAAAAGTGCATGAAAGCTTAAAAATTTTCAAGTGATCCTTAAGAAAAGGTTGGTTATATTCTCTTCCTCTTTCTTTTCTATGGTTTTATTTTTTATTTCCATAAACTATGATATGAGGTGCTTACTTATTGTTGCTGACTTGATGGAGATGATGTGATTATAAGTGCTTTTAAGGTGATTAAGGATGGTTAAGCATGAATTTGACGTCAAGTTTGCATAATTGATCAACTTGGATAATTTTAGTCATTTGATTGATAATTTATGGATTAGTTATTATGATATATGAAAGGTAATTATACTATTTAAGTGTTAGAAGAATTGTTATGCATAAATTAGTGGTGGAATTAAGTTAATGATGCTTAATGAGGTAAAGTATTACTTAAGTCTATCACAATTGAGCATCCTGAAATTTAGTCACTAAGATGGACTAGGTTAAATAGGTAAATGAGTTCCAAAAATTATAAAATTTTATAAAAAAAAAACTATTTTAGTATGTTGAAAAGGTTGTGGTAAAACGGCTAGTGCAATGGGTGAAGAGAAATGGAGTTATAATTAAATGAATGCAGGCTGCTCAGTGGAAATGCTGATTGAAATTCAGGTACTCTGTTTAGGTTATTTAGCTATGCAAATGAGCTCCAAAATACATGAAATTTTATATGGGAGTAGCCTGAGATGTGAGAAAGATTATTTTAAAATTTTATGACAAATGGATTTAAGGAACTAGAGATATAGCCAAAGGAAGGCAGGCTACTCATATCATGGAACGCTATATTCCACTAGTTTGTAAGGAGTTTATCATACTTTTAATATGTTATTAAGTCTCATTATTTTAGTTGTTATTTTAATGTTTTTAGAATGTGATTAAGTGTGGGAAATAAAGTAATTCATGCCTAAATTAAGGTCATATGGTAGTTGGTTAAGCATAGTGAAATTGAAGGAAAAGCATGAATACTACATTTCAATACTTCAATGAATATGAATACTACATTTCAATACTTAATTTACATTCTTAAGATAGTATATGTGTGTTTATTGAGTAGTATGGAGTTAATATGAATATTAATTTCATGCTACAGTATCTGAGAGGAAAGGATTGGAAGTTAAGTCAATAAGTAGACAAGTAAGGCTAGGAGAGCCTTCCAATTCATGTTAGTGCACTATATTTATAACTTATATTGTTTAAGTGATAAGTAAAACAGTTTTAAAGAAATGTTTTATGAAAAGTTACAAGGTAAAAGCAATATGCTAAGCATACTATTTTATGAGCTTTTATAATAGAAAAAATTGATTTATTTATCAAATATTTATATCAAATGAGATTAAATTCAAATGTGATTATTGAATTTGTGAATTGATTATAAAGAAAGCAAATGCTAAAGTTATAGCTAAATGTGTTTTATATAAAATAATAAAGAGCTAATGTTAAATGTTTTATGAAGTATTCATTTGAAATTACATATATGATCTTCAAAAAAGTTCTCTACCAGCAGACATTGCTAAACCTCTAGTTTCTTTTATCCAAATGGTTTCAGAGGCAGCCCGATTCAAATATATTGAGAACAAAGTATTAGATCAAATTGTTGGATTTAATTTTCTATTGTGGGCTTAATATGTAAAAAAAAATATGTACAGCAGTCCAGTAAAGTCAATTTCAAATGTGGTCTTGATTGTGAATAATTGACTATTGAGGTATCAACTGATTATAAATATTAAGTGTAGAGACCATTATATAATTTTTATTTTGTTAAAGGACCGAAATAGAAATTATACTAACGCTACAGGTATATAAAGGTAGTGGTCCCCAGAGGAGTTGAATACGATTCAATTTTACGTTCCTTTCGTATTGCTTCCGCTAATCGATTCTTCAATTCTCTGGAAGGCTGCAAACCTAATTCTACACATCAAGATCGACCAACAACGATGTCAGGTACGCAACCTTTTTTTTCTTATTCAAATCTATTTTGTTGAAATCTAGTGGTT